AACCTCCCCTTGTGCAGCTTAAGCCCATTTCCTCTCGTCCTATCGCTAATTCTCCTGGTTTATCAGGTTTTTCAGTAGTTAAGCCTTTGGAGCACCATCAGAACTAGAGAGGCGCTGTAATCCAGCTGTAGGCCACATCTCTAAATAAATTCCCTAAAAAAATGCCCCCAACGCCACCCAAAATATGTAAAAAATAGTAAAACACCCCATCTATCCCATATACCCAGATCCAGAAACCCTCAGTGTGCAACACAACAGTGTAAAGTGGTCTTAAAGAAACCCAGCTTTTCTTTATGCCTCAGCTTTTTGCCGATCACGGTAAGATGCCAGGCTTCGATTCACTGCGCCCCGTCGGGAGGCCTGGCACGGCCAGCTGCTGCTCCCAAACACCTCCTGCTCGCCCACACAGGGCACGCTGGAACATGGAGAGTGGCATGCATTTCCCCCCACTAAAATACAGCCCACCTACAGCATTTAATAACCACACCATGACCAAGGACAGCAGAGAACTTTCCATACTTTATTTTTACCTTTTCATTTATGATAGTACAGTAAAATAATTTAACTAAAAAAAAAAAAAAAATCTAGCCCCAAGTTCCACGGTGTCAAGTACTCCACTCCAAACCACGAGCGACCATTAAAAGTCAAGAAAACGTTACTCCAGGTTTACAGTGACATTACCTTCAGGAGGACTTGGTCACAGAGGACACCACTACAAGCAGCATATTTAACGCTGTTCGCAGAGAGCAAGCCATCCCACGGCTCCAGACTCCGCGGCTCCCTGAACATCAGGTTTGGTTCATCTCACACGATAGCTTATAGGGAGCTGGGGGAGAAAGGAGGGCAGGGGAAGCGTGTGATTCGATTTCCATTTTCATAAAAGACAAACTTTGTGGTAATACATTTTGCCTGGATGGCAAATCCCAGGTGTGTAAACACAGCCAGAGCAATACAGCAACTGGAGGAAGACGAAGGGGTCAGTGTAACTAAGGCAAAAGGGAGTCACTTCTCTTTTGACACGATCAGGGCAGACGGGGAAATGATTCAGTAGCAAAATAGGTATCACAGTACACCTAGACTACAGAATCAGTGAGAATACACTTTAAGCTTGGTTGAGATCTGTTTACCTTTACAAATTCTGAAGAATATTTAAAATCTCCTCTTCCTTCCCCTTCCTCCCACAATTCTCGTCTGCTGCACTTTTCAAAAGCACAGAAGTTTGCTTTCACTGAAATTTAAGGCTATTATGAAAAAATGAAGTCTAGTTTCAAAACTAAGTATAAAAGTCAATCCACTCTAGAAGGTCTTAGATAACTCTAAATACAACATCCGTTTTCCAAAATGGATCAACTCATTTTTGTATTTGGAAGACAAAAAAGTTTATACTGCAAAAGTTTGTCTTCACACACATACTTTTGTCCTAGAAACTGAACACTCTGATACCAGGAGTTACCACTGTGAGGTAACTTCAGCTCAGGACACCCACCCTTTGCTGAATCCAAATGTGCTGGTGGGAGAGGTTCATCATCACTCTCTTTGCCTCAAAGTACCAGATTATCAAAATATCTACTATGGAACATCTTAAAGTTAATCCACCTGGCTCTGAGACAGGCTGAGGATGTACTTACACAAGCACATCTCAAGAAGCAGCAGTTTCTGGGAAGGAGTGCTGGGAAGACAATGTCTGCCTACAGCCTAAGTGTTCTCACCCAAGAGAGAACAATACGAAGGAGCAGCAGAAATGGACGCAGTCCTAGCCATGACCACGGCTCCCAGTGCTCTTCATGGGCACAAGAGGATACTTTGCTTATTATACATGCACCTGTAAAAGTTCAATGCATTAGAGGACTTACATTTGAGAGAGTGAGGATCCTTTCCATCACAGGAAAGTGGATAATTTTGCATCCCCTGAATTAGGCAACAGGGTTGCTGGTGGTTTGAGCCAGCTGAATCTGGTCCAGAAGCAGCACCAAGCTAGGTAGAGCTTCACAAAAATGGCTACAACCAACTCTTCTTCCTCCTAACCTTAAAGTGCTGGGAAAATGCAGCATGACCAGATTAGTAGCCTAGGAAAAAAAAATATCAACAGTCCTACCAAACATACCATTTCCTAGCATGATAGACAAGCTTCCTAGGAGTGTAGACCTTAAAATCCTCCACACATGCTGAGAAGAGTGTTACATATGGAAAAAATACAACCCTGAAGAAACTGGTTAACAGTAAAAAGTATGGCAACCCCAATCTTGGTAAGGTCAAAAGGCATTTTTAGAATAAAAGTGACCCCTTCTAATGCAGGGCCTATTACTTCATTTGTCCAATGGCATTTTTCACTAAAGAAATGCTCCTCCAATTACACAAGTCAAAGATAATACTTTAATAATAATATTTCAGACATTATTTAAGGTTTAGAACTTATTAGAACTTAATTTTTTTTTTTAACACACATTTCCTATTTTTATCTTGAAAGGACAGCTAATCTTAACAGTCACATATGGATAAAGACTCATTACCTAAGGGCCATTTCTACACATCCTCAGTCTGACTCATTTGAGGTAAAAGAGCTTTTCTTTCCCCACAGAAACAGGCTCCTTACCAGTCAATACTTCACCAGCTACTGCATATATGACTGACCTACCGACCAGAAGCGTCAGTGAAAAAGCAACTCCAACTATAGGTACATTAGCTACGGGCTCTGACCAACAACTGCAAAGTTGGCTGCACCTGCTGACAGTTATTATCTCCTGCAAAAGCTTATTTTTCACCTAAAAGAGAAGGCTAAGCATGGCACATATCTGACTGCAAGAATCAGTCATAATCCTCAGTCACATGGCATTGGTAAAATAACATTGTGTCACTTTGTAACATGTTATAAAAATTCACTGATTACCTTAACAGACTAGAAATAATCACTGCAATTTTCCATTAAATATAGCATCATGAATTCAGTGAAATCAGAAAAAAAGTATTAAAAAAACCTTTCAAAATAGCTCCTTAGTTATACCGTGCTTGAACTGAACCACTGATATATGAGCAGCATGAGTAATCTCATTTCATTTCCCACCATAGCTCAAGACAGAACACAAACAATAAAAATAATCTATAAAAAACACAGTACATCAGAAATCTATGTAAAAAACGTATATCTGTATCAAGGAGCTCAGTAACAACTTAAAGCACCACTCAAAATTAAGTACCATACATGTTACAGTACATGCCATTTATTATGACAATTTAAGGCTAAAATAGGTACGACTCCCTTATAGTCAAGCTTTCTTATATTTATAAATGCATACAAACATTAAGTAGATACAAATGTGTAGGGGTTTTTTATTGCTCTGAACTGTCTACTACAACATACGACTTTCCCAGATGTCGTCTCAGTTTGCCTTTTTCAAACAAGCTGAAGTCCTACAATTGCAACTTACGGCACTTGTACGATTATAGACCTTCTTTGATTTGAGCTGTAAATAAATTCAAAGACATATCAGACAAAATTGCCCATCACTGCAAACTTTGTAACTTAGTTAACTAAACATTCGTCCATAAGATACATAAGAATTCACCACAAAGATTATTTTTGCAATTCTTCAGGATTTTCTTTTCAAAATAATAGGTCTAACCAAGCGGCAAACAAGACAACCAGCAAGAAATGATTGACTAGTACCAGTCTAACAGACTGGGCTTTTTTTAAAAAAAAAAAAAAGGCTGAATACGTGCTCCAAAACAAAGAGCAAACTCTTCTTCTTGCTCATAGAGCAATTATGTTTCCTAATTACGTAGGGCAATGCCTCATTCTGCCAGTGCCAAATTCTTTGACTGTAGCTTGTCCATTTCTTGACCAATATTTCCTTCAATGGTATCACACTGGGCAAGAAAAACCTGAGAGTAAGAAACAAACAAATGTTACCGGGGATGCAATTATAGCAGTGGTAGATGCTTCTTAAGAACAGAAACCACAGTTTCCATCATGAATTTGAAGAAGCCAACTCAACAACCACCTTCCAGTCCAGTTTTAGTAATAGCTTATTCACAATTTTGTTTACCCAGAATCCAACAGAAGCATGGTATTCGATAAGGCAACAACATGGTTGCCCATCCTCACCAGTCCTGCCACTGAAGTACTTTGAGTTGATCCAAAGTTCATAAACAACAGTAAGGATCATAAAGGCTAAGACAAGTTAGTGCTTCAGTTTCGAACATGACTTTTAAACTCTTCTCTAAAACATGTACTTCTGCAGCTGAGGGTGGGAGCAATAAACCTACTCAGTCAAATCTAAAACAAGCTTTCACTAAACCAAGGCCTCTTCTATTTCTCAGGACTACAGGGCAACATGAACCCTCATCTTTATCAGTAAGTAGCTGGCGTGCCTCAAGAGACAGAAGGCTCCTTTCCAAAAAGGGCAGTCCCCAGCACCTTAAGCTTTCTTAGAACCTGCCCAAAAGTTCTTACAAGTACAGCAACCCATACACAGCAATTAAGAGCCAGCAGCCACTGGTCACTTGGATGTGCTGTACACAGCACAACATACCAGCATGTTAAGCCAATAAATTCTTTTAGGTCAGTTCCAATGTATGTGAGTACATGGTAGTTTCTGAGCAGACTCTCCCACTACCTATACACATCTTGCACTCAGTTTTGCTATGCCTGAACTAGACTCTAACAGTCAAACCAGATATTTAATGTTATTTACATTAAAATGACATGAAAAAACTTCCTTCCCTCTAGAACAGCAACCTGTTGTGCCAGGTGAATGTTTCTCAATCATTGCACTGTTTTGAATCATCTATCTTCAACCAATCCCTTGAGCCGGCATCAACTCACTTCTGTGAGGACTTGAGGGATGAAAAAGTCAAGGTGGTAACAACTGCGGTCACTGACTGCAAGTGTTTTGTATTTGTGTCCCCATTCTGGAAGATACGCGATTGCCAGCAACTGAATGCAGTTAATAGATCCCCCTTGGTTTCATGCATACTTAAGAGTAATAAGCTTAACTTGCCATCGTTTTCTTGCTCTGGAAAAACAACATGTTGCTGACTACTCTGGTCTGAAACCCCTTAGATTCTTCTGCAGTCCTCAAACAGTTCATAACCTACAGCTGCAGAACAGTGTGCCTTTGGTCACAACACCACCATGCAACGCTATAGGCTTGGGGAAGAGTGGCTGGAAAGCTGCCTGGCTGAAAAGGACCTGGGGGTGTTGGTCGACAGCCGGCTGAACATGAGCCAGCAGTGTGCCCAGGTGGCCAAGAAGGCCAACAGCATCCTGGCTTGTATCAGGAATAGCGTGGCCAGCAGGAGCAGGGAGGTGATTGTCCCCCTGTACTCGGCACTGGTGAGGCCACCCGTTTTGGGCCCCTCACTACAGTAAAGACATTGAGGTGCTGGAGCGTGTTCAGAGAAGGGCAACGAAGCTGGTGAAGGGTCTGGAGCACAGGCCTTATGAGGAGTGGCTGAGGGAACTGGGGTTGTTTAGTCTGAAGAAGAAGAGGCTGAGGGGAGACCTTATCGCTCTCTGCAACTACCTGAAAGGAGGTTGGAGTGAGGTGGGTGTTGGTCTCTTCTCCCAAGTAGTGAGCGATAGGACGAGAGGAAATGGCCCCAAGCTGCGCCAGGGGAGGTTTAGATTGGATATTAGGAAAAATTTCTTCACGGAAAGGGTAGTCAAGCATTGGAACAGGCTGCCCAGAGAGGTGGTGGAGTCACCATCCCTGGAAGTGTTAAAAAAATGGGTAGATGTGGCACTTCGGGACATGGTTTAGTCCAGTCTACCCTTGATTGGTTTAGTGCTGACTTGGTGGTGTAGGTTAACGGTTGGACTGGATGATCTTAAAGGTCTTTTCCAACCTAAACGATTCTATGATTCTATGAAAGCACAATAATTCTGATCTCTGCTCAACAGAGTCTGCTTTATGCCCTAACAGCAGTTCTTACACAAAGCCCCGCTTATTTCTGCAATAACTTCACCCAAGAGTGTAGCTCTAGTAGCTTGCCATAAGGGTTACTGCCATACCTCTATTACAAACTCTCGCTGCTTTGGTCAGGCACAAGGAATCAAGAGCATGTTCAGAGCTCCATATAACATAGCTATGCCAGCAACCATCCTCATTTCAATTTGCATTATCTGACCATAACTGTACTCTAACAGAGTACAAAGGGCTTTGTCCCTAAAGCTGTAACAAAAAACATTTCTACTATGAAGTACTTCTTGATACGTCTTCCTCTAAAACAGATAGCTATTTAAAAAAAATTTGGGAAACATTTACAGAAACTATTTAATAAGGTTACAGTAAAAGACAAAACTTTTCAACTCCATATACAAATGCAAGGTACTTTCACAAATAATTTGCAGGAGTCTAAGCTGTGACTGAAGCTAGCATAATACAAATGAAAGCAGTAATGTAAGTAGCATTACCATTCATTTACGGAAGTTTGGCTTTTGGGGGAGGAGGGAGGAAGGACAAATTTCAGTATTTAGTAACAAACCTTCAGTTCAAGATCTCTAAGGAAACAATACCTAGGAATTTGTAAGCATCATACAATGGCAAAGCAATTAAAAAACCTAGCCCCAGCAGAGCTGCTCTTCTGTACAGGTTTTACTTTACAGACTCTCCACGGAAAGTTGGTACGTTACAACAGAAGGTAAATTTTCCAAAGAACACCTCTAGCAAGGTCCAGCAGGAGTTAACAGTTGACTCCATCTTTGTGCCCAGACCCCTCCTCATTCATTACTCCAGCCCACCAAGGTACAGGAAAGGAGGAATCATCCCATTTTCTTTACAAGTTATCAGTTAATTAATTTACATCATCAGGCAGCCATAAGGCCAACCACTAATGTAAATTACAAACATTATCTGAAGACAGCATGAACTATGAAAATCTGTATTTCTGTATAATGTTTTATAAAGCTATTAAATACCTCTTAAAGGGAGGTCCTAAGAAATACCAATGTAACAACAAATACTGAAAAAATCTAAGCTCTAAACAGCTCTCATTCTCACAAACTTCTGGTATACAAGTACCCAGCATTAATGGAAAACAAAAAAATAAAAATACTCACCTGAACCCTTTTCACCAACCCCTTCTTTTTCAGTTTGCAGTCACTGAAATTCTCTGGCAGATTCTGCAGTAAAATAAACAAACAAGTTGATGCAGCTTAAAGTTGAAATTAATGTATTAAACTTACAGAAAAAAATGAATGCATCAAAGAATCCTCTTAACAGGCATCCTGAAAATACCATGCCTGCTCAGTAAGGATGATTGCACAAGAAAGAATTTAAAAGAAAAAGTCATAAATGCAGTAAGTCTGGGATACAGCATGCTGATTACAAAGAATTGAGCTAGCAAATTTACCACGTCTTTTGGTAACATACAGCAATAACTGCATACACTGTTTTTGTCTACTGTGGCTTATGTTAACTGTTCTGCTGAGCTCCAACTTCAGATTTTTTCAGAGACTGTAAGATGAATTCATTTTTTAGAAACACATTAACTCAATCTCTTGCCATCATTAGAACATATCATCAGTAAGGCAGGCATTGCCAGTCTGTTTAAGCTGTACATCTGATCTTCTCTGCAATCTACTCATGGAAGGGAACAGATGTGAAGTGTTACATGCTGACAGCTTTTAATTAATTCAAACGGCATCATCTTCCATACTCCTACCACCCAATATATTCGTGTATGTCATCTTAGCAAATGTTATATGCTTTGTCCTTTTGGAGTGGTATGAAATTGGGGTGTTGGTGGGGAATGGTGCTCAGATTTATGATTTTTTTTTTTGAAACAGTTAAACAGATGATTATCATATAAAGTTTATGTGAACACGCTTAGAAACATTATGCTCTCACTGTTGAAAATGCATAAAAATATTGGAGTTTCTCACTGGTATACCTTTTATTTTCCACCCTAACTCTGTATCAAGAATAGAAGTTTCCCTATATTGCCCTCTGTTCTGTTTCAGCTAAAAGGCAAGTCCCACTGGGAGGTTTAGATACCTGTTAGTTACCAAAGTAACAATAATTAAAAAAAAATATGTTATTTTCTTCTAATGTCCAGCCAAACATACATAGTCTTAAATATAGGAGTCTTGCACATAGCCTAATATAGGAGTTAAAAATACACAAGACTCCACACTAAAATACAGTCCATCATGGGAAGTGAAACTACAGGCATCACTGAGATCCCTGAAGTTCAGGGATCACACTGCTCCAGTATTTGTGCAGTAATTACCACGCTGTGGTATCAGACAAAGAAATAATAATCACCAGGCTTAGCACGCGTTCCCAGCACCGTGGGTGAGGAGCAAATGGGCACACAACAGAGCAAGCTGTGACACATTCTTACATTTTACTTCTACATAAACTTATGGTTTAAAATACCTCTCACTCTTTCTACATTCAGCTGGAAGAAAGAATGCACAGCGCTGCTTCTTATCTCCTAGGAGTGTATGAAAGTTGGAACTGGGAGTTAACTATTAATGCACTAACCTCTTCCTAGAGTCAGGTTTTTTGCTTTATTTTGTTAGTTTGCTTTTGGAAAATGAGTAAGAGAAAGAATCTCCTGTTCCTGCAGTTCTAGCTTCCATTTCTGTTGCTCCAGTACCAGTTTTCCCAAACGGCAGCATTGTTAAGATGTATAAAACTCGTATCAACTTTTCACCCTTCCCTTCAAGATCAGAAAAGGTATCTCCCCTTGCAGAGAGCTTTTATGTCAGACTGCACCTTCTGAAACGGAACCAGAAACTGGACATAATTCTTTCAGGTGGAAAAATGACCATCAGTAACAGAGGCATAAGAGAGTATGTGGATTAAAGGAGACACCCTTCCAAATGCAAACTGGTGCAGTGTTATCTTACAAACAGGGACAGAAATATCTAAAAACTATTAAGTTATGTTGTTTTTTTGTTTGTTTTAAATTGATGTTAATCCTCTTGATACCAAAAACACTCTACAGTTTGTCCTAAGATGCATTCCATCACCTATCTATCCTTTCCAACTCCTCTTATCTCATGAGAAAGAGGAGAAGTAACTCTGAAAGTAAGTTACCAGGTTAACTCCAGGAATCTGTCATGCACAATGTAAATCCCGCTACAGGAGCCTGTTCTACGCTGATCACTTTCTTCATTTACGTAATGTTGCCTTACATCCTTGGATTTACAGCACAGGATAGGTTCAGAAGCTGTTAGTACGTTTTCAACAATGGTCTGCCTAAAATGAAAACTCCTTTTTACAAGTGACACATGTCCATTTTCTAATGCACAGGTTTTTTTCAGTTGTTACTTTGGGAAGCTTCTTTGCTCTTTACAAAGAGGACAAGAGGAAATGGGCTTAAGCTGCGCCAGGGGAGGTTTAGACTGGAAATTAGGAAAAATTTCTTTACGGAAAGGGTGGTCAGGCATTGGAACAGGCTGCCCAGAGAGGTGGTGGAGTCACCATCCCTGGAGGCATTTAAAAAACGGGTAGATGTGGCACTTCGGGATATGGTTTAGTCTGGTCTACCCTTGATTAGTCTAGAGTGGGCTTGGTAGTGTTAGGTTAATGGTTGGACTGGATGATCTTAAAGGTCTTTTCCAACCTAGATGATTCTATGATTCTATGATTCTATAAGTGTATTTTTTAGTACTGTATACTGCAATAAGCCCTTGCTCACTGTAGCATGCTAAACCTATGTCTCCTCCCAATAAACAGGAGACTGAAAAGATTGTATTACATGCTTCTCTTTCAGAAACCGAATGCTTCAAAGACACTACAAAACAATTGAGGAGTTAGTTTAAACCTGTGGGTGAGCTCTCTTCAAACACCAGTTCTAGTTCACAAATAAAAAAGGTGGCCTTTGGAGTATTTATAGTTGTCACAGGGAAAAAAAGTTTTAAAAAAGTTATAAGAAGTGTTCTAGGGGGATCTTAAACATAGGAGCTGCAACCACACAAGAAAACATTCCTATTTTCCCTTGGTTTTCAACAACACAATTAACTTTTTAAACGTAACAAAATATGACAAGAAACATTTAACATAAAGAGAGTATTTGATGCATGCTATTGTGACTCCATATATGTAATAGCCTGAAAGAACAAAGATGGGTCAGGTCTAATTATTAATGGCTAATTCTTACCAGAAAATGAAGATGTTATCTCATTGTCACAGAAATTCTTTTATGCCTTGAAGTTTTCCATGACTTGGAATTTCATAATAATCAAATTAAAAATGAAATTATGCACTAGCCCAGTTACACTGCCCATCTCCCTCTGCCAAGTACTTATTTCAGGCTGTACTTTCTGAAAGAGATTCTGGCCTATGCAAGTATTCTTACCAACCTGAAACAGCAAATTAACAAACAATTTTCTATCACCAGAATAGGCCTAAATTAACTTTCAATAGCAGACAAGGAACTCCAGCTGGGCTTACCACACAAAGTCTGTTTCTAAAACAGCTATTGGTAACTAGAAGAAACTTTGAGTGTAAAGAAAACATTCAGACTATTTCTGTTTTTGACAACATTTTTGAAAATGGCTCTTTTTAATTAAATCTGTGCGTGCAAACTCGTATGTTTGCTTGCACACCTTCATAGCTGGTTTTTGGTTGTTTTTTTGGTTTGGTTTGTTTTTTTGGTGTTTTTTTTTTTTTTAAAATCACACCTTGTAATCCTCTTGGCAGAGACATGGAATTGGAAGGCCTAAATGTACTAACTTATCAAGCTGCGTAAAAGGTGCTTTGCAATCAAATTAGTAAAGTTTACAAATCTTAACATCAAATTAAATCTCACAGTCTCTCTGTTTTACCTTAGTCAGCTTACGTCTCCTCTCCAGGAATACGTTGTCCAACTATTCAGGGTTTAACAGGTGAAGCTGGCAATAAACCTTAAGTCACAATAACATTTCAATATTTAATTAAAATCAAATTTAATTAGTGAAGGATTAGCTTAAGCCTAGGTAGTGCTTATGCAAAACTCTTGCCAAAGCTACATTTTGGTGCTAGCATTGCTTGCAGAGCAGTAGTTTGGATTAGTATATGGCTTTCTACTGCACAGCACAATCTTAGTTTTATAGCAGGTCCCCTCTTTGCACTGCACTTTCTCTGTGACAAACCCTGCTCAAGTCTCACAGTCCTTGGTCTGTATGGTCTTAAACTTTCAAAAGTGATGCAGTGCTGGCTTCACACCAGCAACTTCTGTAGAACTCCCGGGCACAGGTTCTTTATCCTCCCCGCATCCACCCAGAAACAGACCCTGAGTCCCCCTGTTACCAGTGCCTATCTCCCACCCCACACCCCCGAATTCAGAGTTGCTTAACCACATGCCTTCAAGAGTTCTCATCCTGCAGATACACTGACAAGATGCACTGCAGAGACACACACGTTACATCCTCGAAGACTCATCTTTTGTATGCACAACACTCATGCTTTATACAATAAATCCTTGAAACCAATCACCATGTACACAGTAATAAATTAATGCATGTGCTTTTTCCTGCCTCTAGATCTTCTCTATTCTTGAGTGTTCTTTTAACTACGAACCCAGCATCCCTCTCTCCTGAGCACTGCTTCTGACAAAATACAGACTCTCTTGTCATTGCTTTCCCTTCTCCCAGCTGATCTTATAAAACCACCTCCCTTTGCCACAGAGCATCACCTTCAGCTCTGCTCAAGTTCCTTTTTGTTTTAGAAGTGCTTACAATAATGTTTTTTAAGCTTAGTGTTACCACCACATCTTTGTTCTCCTCTTTGGTTGTTTCTTATTTCCCAAACCATAGACCCCAGTAGGTAACACCCGATGCCTGAATCCACTTTATAGCAGTGTAGTCAGTTAATAAACAAAACAAATGCTAGTCAAATTTATTATTTATGACTTATTAGAACCAAAGTGACACCATTCTTAAAACAGGCAATCTCCTACACTAGCATTCACTAGCAATAATACCTAGAAACATTTTTGGTTTGTTATCAAATTGCTTAAAAAAATAAAAATCTCTCTGCTACACATGGCACCAATGCTAATCAGTTGCAAACAAGGATTTTTTGCTGACACCCCATCCAACAGGAAGCTTTTTTGTTAGTTTCTTTTAAAAATCCAAAACAATTTACAGTATTTCAGTGTCTAGTTTTTATTGACTACCAGCCCTTCACTTTTAACTTATTGTTAAATAAATTGGTAAATTGAGTAAGCACATTATGTTGACACTGAATCTTTTTCATACAAGTAGGCATCTGAGCAACTTCTTTAAAAGCAACTATAAATGGCAGCATTTGTCAATGGGTTTTCTGAATGCAGAGGTGGTAACTAAGCGCTCTACCTTCACTGAGGGGTGATAGTACTTTCATGCTCCTTGTGCTTTAGAAAAATTTTTCCCTGAAGCTTTGATTTTATGTTTATGATTCATGCTAAGAGATTTTAGAATTATACTAAGAAATGTTTATCAAATGTTTAGTTATCCAAATAAATTCAAAGGTTTGGTAATAAGTTCTCAACTTATTGGAAGTGGCAAAACTTCCCAGAAGCCTGCGGAATGTTTGTTACAGGCACAATGATGTTTTTTTCAGAATACTTCTTTCTTTTAATCCTTGAAATGTTAATTTGGTATTGATTTACCACATGAGGACTACAGCAGGAACAAGGAGACAGTGAAAAAAGCTTCATCAGAACAGTACAGAAATTTAAGTAATTATAACAAAAAAAAGTCCTCAAGAAAGGAAGATGGGCCACCAGAACATAATTATGAGTCAGTAACATTATAAATGTTCTCAATACTTACACGTGCAATTTGCAGATGATTTTGTCGTGAATTTATGTAAACAACATCAGTGACTGGTATTTCAGAAGAGAAAGCTTTTTTTTTTCAGTTGTTAGAACAATCTGTTCTCTGCAATATTGTCTATCAAGATTACAAATCTGCCACTTAATAAGAAATTGTCATGAGAACAAAGTAATCTCTCAGATAGCAGTATCAGTGACAGACTTCATGTAAATTAGAGCAGGGTCACAAGAAGTACATAGTGTCATGATGCTGGATTTAAGTTTTCCTACTGATCTCAGAAAAGCTTTCCTTTTTTTTCCTTGAAAAAGCCTTTCAGTTATTTAAAAAACTGTGCCAGCTGGTGAAGTCAATGATTTTCTATTCTACTCACTGAGATTTGTAACGAGTGGTGTACTTTGACTTTTACTCCTGGACCAAATGTTTTAACTTGAAATAAATGGCATTTCTGGTGATACACACACGCAAATCTTCAACTGTTGAACATGACTCAATTTGTATTCCTCCTGAAGAAAACTTCAAAGATCTGTGGCTTATGGGAACACCTGACTGTGTCACAGCATTCAAAAATCCTTCCTGCTGCGAAGCAGTAGCTATTTAAAGACATTTACGTTAAAATGTTTAAGTTACAGCTACTCTATCCAAAAGCATCCCTTCAAGACTTTCCTTTCACACCTGTGGCAGTGACAACACTGTGCTTTTTCTCTTCCACCTCAATACTGCATGACTACCGACCTACTTCCCCACTTCCTAAATCACTTCTTTTAAATCATAGCTGTTGAACACATGGAATCTAGTAAAAAGGAGTATTAGTTCCAAACTCAGCTCCTCTAATTAATGAGTTTGTCTGCTAACAGCAAGAGGGTGACATCCCTAGAATAGATAGAAAACAATATGCAGGCTTCCTCACCCTTAGCTCTCTGTAACCATACAAATCTCCATTTTGTATCAAGCTAGATGTCTTTGATTGATCCAAACAATGTATGACAGCCAAGACACTTTACAGACATTTCACAACAATTCTGCTAGGAAAACAAACTGGAACATTTCTAGTGTGAGCTTGCTGTATGTTTCACTTCTACAATGCATCCATTCTTCTCTCTTAGCAGGAAACAGCTCACTCAGTCACTTTTTCCCCCCTTATCCTTTTTTAACATGTTGTTGATTGAATCAATAGCACATCTATATGGTCAATAGCATTCAAGAAATTTGTCAGAACTTGCCTTTTACTTGGCTAACAAAAAATACTAAATACTGTATAAACCAATTCTGAGATACAGATAAAATACTTTCTGGAAGCTTTATGCTTTTCTGCTTTGCATTTCTATTTACCACTTCTTACTTCAGTGGAACCCGTTTATTGTTCATATACATACCTCATTACCGTTCTGTGTTGCTACCTCTGTATGTTGCACAGCTACAGTACAGCTAAGTAATACCTCAGGAAGTTGGTGGCCTGTTCATCTGATCTGGTGTAATACCAGTACACTGAACAGCTACATTTTATGTAAAGTTTCCACCCAACTACACGTATCCTATCTGCAAGATTTCACAGAAGTTTCACAGAAGTTCAGTTTTCATGACAAAAACCACAGCTGCCTTTGTTTATTAAAACAAATAAATACGGACTTTGGTACCTGTAACATAACTTCAATCACTCACTTATTTCTTGCTTTAAAAATGTGAGGCTCGTCAATGTCGTACGTTCTTATACAACAAAGTAACAAACAGCTATTACAAATATTAAAGGACACTAATCATAGTTTTAGGTCTGGCTGCTCCACTTCCCTAAGAGACAAAACTGAAGCACAGGGACTCCACTATTTCCTAAATCTAAACATGCAGTCACCAGGTTACAGGTCTTCTAAAATCTTGTATGAAACCTAAAAGTCCCTTGTCCAGTACTATTTAGAGTATTTTGGATAAGGAGATAGGTAATAGCATGCCTTCTGTTTAAGCTATGCAAAAAGACCAGAATCAAAAGTAATCTTGGGAAACTCAGTTGGATTGATTAGGAAGCAGTGAAAATGGTTTTTCAAGGCTGCTTGCTGGGTTCCAGAACTGTACACCAGCATAGAAGTACTGACTTTTTTCTAAATAAGACTTAGTATCAGAAATTGAAGGGATCAAAAATAAGCTTTAATCCCATCCAAATGAAACTGTTGTCACCTTATTGCTATTTTCATGATAACACATAGTAAATCTGCCATTGCAAACAGAGGATCAGTTACATGAAGTCTGTATGTCTAACAGCATTCAAGAACTGTCAGCAAAATATTTTCCTCTCTATGAGCCAGAAAAGGAAAGAGAAATTTTAAGACTTTAAAACACTTAGCATATTACAATTTTTTAAATTGTATTTAAGAACTGTTGGCTCTAACAAACAGCGAAGGCTAATTTACCATTAAAGGTGCACAATATGAAAGAATTAAATAAGTTAACGAGCTCCCTACCATTCCTAGGAACACATCCATATTGTATAGCATTTGATGATGGCCAATTCAAATTATTACTCCATGACTTAGTCTGCTGCTGAACTTTGTCAAAGTGCCCATCAATTAAACTACATTTGGTTCACCAAATTATGCATTTGCATGTAATTTTTCTGAAACAATGCCGTAAAGGGTCACTGTGCAAAGGAGTAGACCCAAAGACATCACTACCACAGAAAAGCAGCATTTTTCCTTCAGAGCAGGACATTATGATCATAATATGCAACACAACTATATAATGAAGTTCACAAAGAATGACCAGCAGACAGAGAAATAGAATAAGGAAATACCCTAGCTGCCATCATCTTCTATTTTCTCTACACAAGTCCCTTATTCTCACCTAGCTCTCAGCACCTACATGATACAGGAAGATATATATTACACTCTGGAAATACACTGTAAGGTTATGATCCATTAATGACTGTGAAGCACTTGGATATACCCCAGTACATTCCAAAGAAAGAATCAAGTCCTCAATATGCAGGCCTCTCAGATAAAAGTACCATCAGTCCACATATGACTGACCAGAAAATTCTTCAGTCTTCAGGATCTCCTTGTTCTTATGCAATATAGAATACAAAGTGTATCTGGGTTTTGGGTTTTTTTTTCCCCAGACTTTTACTGTTACCGTGAAGTTTAACATGAAAGTTTGCTAAGACAAACTAAAAGGGTAAAACTTGAGTAAAGGATACCCATTTCATGTAGTCTTAACAGGCTGCTGCCCCAAATGAAGCTCTTCTGTAGAATGGGGATGCATACACAGGCATTAATGTCACCATTTAGAAATAGATGCTGCCAAGTAGTCTTTTGGAGACATACAGGGGCAAGAGCTGGATATTAAAGAAAAAATGAGCAAACCAATTAACTAATTTTCAAAGCCAAAATAAATTTGTTAGTATTTTAAAATATGAAATAAATTACAAGAAATATATATTCTTAACAGTAAATTTCTGTTGGGATTTGACCCTCTTCTCTGGTTATTTACTTACAATGGCATCAATCTGTTCCAGGATCTTCATGAACTGCTCTGCAGTTCCTTTTATCCTCTTGTCCAGCTGTTTTAGCGCTTCTGCTTGGAGATCCTTTGCTAAAAATCCCTGAGGAGGAAAAAGAGGAAAGACAAAGTTATTCCATACGCTACAGAATACTCAGCTTAGAAAATCTGTCAATCCACCACAGCAGAAAACATCTTTTACTACTTCTGTAGTTTCAAGTATGATAGGGACTCCAATCTCAATCTGTATTCTATCAGTCCTTGAAATGCCAAATGTAAGATCTTCTAGGTTTACTTAAAAGATTAACCAAGTAACAGACATTCTCCTTTGGACTTTGAGAGAACTCTTTATGTTTTGCTAGATCTAAAGAATATAATTTATTCAATACGCAACAACATTTATCTTTTTCCAAATAGTGCCATGTCTCCATTTTGCAAACTCATAAACAGCATTTGAAATTCAGCAAGAATTTTACAGGTCCCTTGGACAGTTAGGAGGGGCAGCCTATTACTGACTACACAAAACCTTTAAACAGTATATTTTTTAAATACATGTACCTACAAAACTGTTTTTCAAAGATACAAAATGATACAAAACTGGCATACCTTCTGGATACTTGTGAACTCTTTATTAACTTCCTCTAACTTATTAGCTATTTGCTCCACTGACTTCTCCAGATCTTTTAACTTCTTTAATTCAGCTTCTTCTTCTGGACTATTCTGTGTATTCAAAAGTACAACATTCACAACTACGGAACAAACAGAGTCACTATGCAGCTAAAAAGCAGCAACAGTGGTGATACAGACATAAAGGCTTTTGCCAATTTAAAATACATACTACACTGTGGTTATTCTTTCCATATCTTAATACCCATCAAATAAGCTTCTTCCAAAGCTTAGTTGCAGATACAGTTGAAGTGGCAATGCATATAAACACATGAAATGAGATTAATTTGAAGGGAGAAAGGACAAGTGCAAATAATTTTTTTTTCTTAGCTCAGCATCTTTAAAGTAGAGGTAACATTTACATCACGAGATACTACAAGTCATTTCACTAGAAACAACCCAGCAGACTCAGTATTTTAACCAGAAAAATAAGAAGGTCAGATAAGGTCATCAGTGCACAGAAGGTTCATGAGCACTGACAAGCAACAGATTAGGCAGAGGTTTGTCAATAATGCAAGGCAGCAGTCAATAATGTAATTTCAGAAATGTACAAACTGCAGTTATTTGCAGTACAACATGAGATTGAACTCAACTCTGTGGGTAGGTATACAATATTAGGTTTATGCTGTAACCTGTTTCTGTGTTCAGCAGGTGAATCACTGACAGAAATGACAATAATTTAAGAAAAAAAAGAAAAAAGTCTGAAGGCAATACTTACCCTTTTCCCAATCAACATGACTTTGCAACCATTTTTAACACCAAGCGCTGACAACGGTTGTTCCAATTCTTTCAGAGACTTCCCTAAATGGAAAACAAGAGAGGAAAAAAAAAAACCAGTTAAAATATAGTTAGCAGCACAAGAATGTCTTTTTGAAGACATTCAAAATGTGGACACCTGAAAGTGACTAAGATGAAAGGTATCATCTCTAAGAAACATTGACAGATTTTTAAGTCACCTTTGTATATCAGTTTCTGAAAAGGAACTGGAACTCCAGTGACTTGTTCAATAAGTACAGCCATGTCTTGTAGTGTAGGTTCACCATCTTCTTGTTGAGAAGCAACCTGAATACTGTGTTTTTCATTACCTAATAAAAAACAGAGTAACAGTAATACTTCTTGTTACCTAGAAAATATTACAGGGAATCAGCTTCTAATATTTATTTCCATTAATGCAGAAAATTCTCAAATCAACGATTCTCATGTACAATCATAATTTTCTATCAAAGGATTCTATTGCATTTCCTTCTTCTTGGAGTGACTTACCTCAGCTGCAAATTTTGTTTTACACTCTAATAACCTGAAGAGTTCGATCAGGCATACTCTACTGGCATAATGCTCTTCTAAATATTATTCCCCACCTCTTTTTACGAGTGCAGATGGTGTCCAGACATCCCACAAGCTAAAGCATGAAAGCCCACACCTTCCTGATGTATTCAATTTCCTATTTGTAGGAACTTTTAATGGCATGAGTCTTGCAGAATCTGAGGCAATTTATCACTTCCTTTGCTCCCTCATCCACATACATGAGAAGCAAGCGATCAATGTCTACCCTGTCTCCCCTTGTTTCTGCCCATAATAAATTATTAACAGAATTTAAAAATTAAATTAAATTATTTCTGCTCATAATACTGCTGATATGCAGCCTTCACCATTTTGAGAAGTCTCAGCCTATAAGTCACCTTCCACTTAAAAAGCATCCTATTCAGACTCCCTAAGACTACTTGTGTGCAAACAGCAGGAAGTTCTTAGAAAAAAAGGAGTATGTCTCTTAATTTCTGCTTTGCAATAGACCCTTTCTATAACCCTCTGCTCCCACACACTTAAGGCCTGTCAATCTGAAAGCATCCACAGGAATCAGCCACCACTGGCTGCAAATCAAGACAGCCATTTTTTACTTTGCAGGAAGAGAGAACTCCTTAACAAATACCAGAAAGAAAACTATTCTCATGCCACTAATTTGAAGCACACATATCTTTTACAAAGAAGAGTGCTAGAATCATTGAAAAATGTTCCAGCCTCCCAGAGTCACAGGACAAGTGACACTGTGGCCTCAAAAACTTGCAAGCTCCAACAATACTTCTTAATTCCCAAATGGTTTTAAGTTCAAAATCACATTATACAAACTCTCCCTGAAGCATTTTCCATAAACAGATCTTCTTCCCAATTTGGGTTGTTTTTTTTTTTTTTTTTGGGGGGGGGGGGGGGGGGCAGGGGGACAGACGGACGGACAGGACACCAACCCCTAAAATTTAGGTCCTAACCTCAATATATTTCAAAAGGTTGTTTTGATATATACAGCTCGTTTGTGAAAGGGCTGTGCCTGTCAGCAGTTGAGAGAAAAACCAAACAAACAAACAGCAAATGGGGAAAAGAAGAGCTGAAGTTTGCCTAGCAATAGAAACAGTTTTAATTACAAATTATGAGTACCACTTTGGGCAGACTGTAACAAAAATTTTACTGTAAATTCACAGCAGAGTGAAATCACCATGAAAAATACCTCACGCGTTAAAACTGGTATCATAGCTTATCAGTTTGCTTCAGTAAATAACAATACTAGTTTAAAGTAACCACTAGTGCAAAATTCAATTTTTTTCTTTTTAAATAAAAGCCTAAATACATTTAAAAACCAGGTCAGTTCAATTTCTTGCAGATTGTCAAGTGATACATGTGGGTCTAATACCATTCTCTTTCTTAACCCTGATTTCTATCTCTCCCCACTTTCACTCATGCATGCAAAACTTTAATAAAAAGGTTTGTGCTAAGTAGTAAACCAGCATCTGACAGCAACAGATATAAATCAGACAGCTGAAGTCCAAGATGAACAATGCCAACTATTTGCTATTTATTAATGACAAAGTAATTACCAGATAAGAAAACAACTGGAAAGATAAAAACATTCTCAGATAAGACTGTTGGCAAACAGCAAGATGTTAGAATTATAAATATGTTAATATAATTAAGTTATTGTCATCTTTGCAAAAGAAAACCCCTCAGATCAAATGGAGCTCTCTGAAGGCATCAATGAGCACATGAATCATGAAGATACAAACAGATTATTCCACAACGTTCCTCATCAAAGACTCTTATTAGATAAAACAGCCATGTGACAAAGGAAACATTTTTCACAAAATAATCTACCAGTAACAGTTGGAAAACACGAATAAGCAAGCAGAAATAAACAATAAGCTCTAAAGGTGGAAAGAACGTCACCAACACAGTGCAAAAGGAAGACGAGCAGAATTTATTTTTCAATAATTAAAAAATAATCCATAAAATAATTCATAAAAAATAAGTTTTGTTAATAAAAAATCAGCTGATTAATACCTTGCTGATTTAATAACTTACTATCCCTCTCATTTCTCCTAATGCCTCACCTAGATCCACTTTATCAAAGTACCATTTAACCATGGTACTTCCCATCTTATTTTTAAGGACTGTAGAGTCCAGGCTATTCTTACCTCTTTGCAGTAACTTTTAATATTTATTTGCAGACTTAACTACATCTTCCACCTTTTTCTCCCTCCTCCTATTTCTCTTCCTGAGGGAAAAAAAGCTCAGTCGTGTCAGCTGGCCTTTGAGTAACCCATTTCATCAGGTCAGCACCCAACCGTCATACTGAAGAAACCACCACTTTCTGTTGCAATCTTCCACCTCACTGACCGCAAATGTTCAAGCTTATTCAACAGACAAGATGAGAGCCCATTGGGTAGCGCCCGCTTTTAACACACAGTGCCGACTTCAGTGATTTATTTCATCTAAATGAAGATTGCTACCACAAAAGTGCCCTCCACCCTGTGCTTTCTGGCAAGGACACACTTGCTACCTGTCCCACCATCACCCTTACAGTAGATCTACCCCTGTGCGGCAGGTTTGATCATCCTGTTGATGCGGAGAGCGTTATTTATTTCCCCTCCCCCCTCTTCTGTTGGATCAGCTTAAGTGATCCAGCTTGAGGAAGCCAGTGGGAAGATGTGGCTAGCAGCGGAGCGAAACCTCACGGCAGCAGCCGGCACCGAGGCCAGGCCGAGCGGAGG